GATAGATACATGTGTGGCATAGAGATTTGAGTGCGATTTTTCGGTTTTTTAGCACATAGACATCGAAAGGCTCATTGCATAACCAATAATGCATGCAAGACCATTATTATTGGCTCGTTCTGAAGCTCTAGTAGCATACTAAATTATCGGCTAGTTTTTATTAGGCAGGGATGCATGAGAGGCAGAGCATTAGGTGCGCATTTTCGCATTTTTGTGCATAGAAGCACAGTTTAGGCCATAACATCGCCAAAAATGGTCATATTCACACGTTCTGGGTGTCTACAGGTAGCTATGAATTCCCTCAAAATTATTGCGTCATCGTTCCCATCAATTTCCACCCAGGGGGAAGCCAAACGAGCCCGAAATGCACCAGCAATGGCTATTTTAATGCCAGATCCCAATTTAGCAGCTTGTGCTAAAAATAAATGCATGCCAAGTTAAGGTGACACCTCATACACGCCGTTTCGCAACATTCCACATCCCAGATTCTCCTGATTTTCTTATGACATACAGTAACATACTATCACATTGGCCCTGGGCACTTTTTTCACAAAAAACGGCCCCGGTTGAGGCTGCAGAGCAAACAGGTCACATGTCCAGTTCTCTGCAGTGCCCTGGGGTCCTGCTTGGCCTATCCCACCCCCTCCAGCCCCTCCCACCACCTGCCTACCCTGGAAATGGATGATTACTAATTTATTTACCCCCTCCTCATCACCCTTGCAGATGCTGGGCACCTGGCAACCCCTCCCTCTTATTAGGAGAGCCTTCCCAAAGTGGAAGGTAGCATGTTGCCCTCCAGGGCTTAGATTCATAGTTAGGAAACTGCCTTGTATTCTATATTTTTCTAGCTTACATGGCTGCCCTGAATGTCCCCGAACGTCGCAGTTCGGGGCCATTCATGCACCAGGGGCGTTGTTGGACAGCCCCTGGGGGTGTTGGATGGCGAGAAGGGGTGGCGGAGGGTGAGGAGGGCGAGGGGGGTGGCAGGGTGAGTAGGACCCTGAACAACCCCGAGCGTCGCAGTTCGGGGCAGTTTGTGCACCAGTGGGATGGCCCCCAGGGGTGTGGGACCTATGACACATGAAAACTCTGCAAGAGTTTTCGTGCGTCATTTGTTTGCGTCCCTACAAACACTTGCAAAATTTGCTGGGCCCCTTCCTCTTTCACAACCGCCATCATCTGGACCCCTCCAGATGGTGTCGGAGGGGCGAGAGGAGGGGATGGTGGTGGCGGAAGGTGAGAGGCAGGCGGTGCTAGATGGGCAGGCAGGCGGGACACAGAACTAGTGCGAACAACACCAAACCTCCGTGTTTGGCGTCATTCGGTGTCCTTGAAGGCTGTTGGTAGGGGCGAGAGGCAGAGGGTGAGGAGGGCAAGCAGGTGGTCGTGGGGTGAGAGGGGCAGGTGGCAGTGGCTGAACAATTACTACAGTAGCCAGTAAAAATGTAGTGAACTATTGAAAATGTAGCTATGCCATCAATGCAATACTTACTGTGGGAAAAAAAGCATGGATGACCATAACATGGGAAAGCAAAATGATCTCTGCATCCCAGGTTGAAAGAACGAGTCTTACTTATGTAAGAAGTTGTAACCTACATTGAGTAGCAAGGGATATGTCGTTGAACTGTCTTGAGTCATGAACTCCATCAAGGAGATTGCAGCTGGAGTAAGGTGTTCAGACATATCATCCTCGAGGAAGGATAGCCAGAGTGCAAATAAATCCAGATACATCGCAAACAATTCAGACCCAAACGAGAGGGTAAGATTGGGGATGGATAGCTGAAACTGCAATTAGATGATCGTAGTGTGCTATTGCGGATAAACACACCAAGACTTCTGTGGCCTCCATGATACAGGTATGGTACTCAAGAGGGTTGTCCATATTGGCCATGTTGCCTTGAACAACACTTCGATGGACCACCTTGAAATGCTGAAGGAGGTGAGAAATAAGCATCTCCTTTGAAGAAGTCAAACAGTGGTCACTACAAGGAAAACACGATAAACTCACATCCGGGTGAGGCAGAGCAGTATCATTGAGAATTAGAACCATATTGATGAAGTAACCAGATGGCTACCATGATACTTATAGCCAAAGGGAGCTGCTTCCAAATGCCGCAATTAGGTGACTTGGCCCGATCAGCGTCCATTTGAAATAAATGGCACCTATTGCAGAAATCGTGGTAAGGCTCTTGAGTACTGCTTGAATGTTGTGATAGCTGGGGACAGCTATCATTTCAAGTTGGGGGGAGAGGGACCTAGCCTAAAAGCTAGTTAGCCAGCTGAGTAAAAAGAAACAATGATTAAGCGCTCAAGAATGTGTTGAAAATTTGAAGTCAAATTGATGGACAAGAGAAGCGATCAACGAACAGGCTGGGGGTGTTACCTCATCATAAGGGCAAACTAATTGTTATTGTGACAAGCAAAAGCAAGTCAAAGAGAAAAGTGCAAAGCCCAAAACGCACAATCGCGGTAACGCTTATTTAAGGCATCACAGCCTAGCTATCAGTTTCTGGCTCATTGCACACCAAAGAAGAGAACAAGGACAAAATCTATGAGATTGACTATAAGGCATTTATGGTACAAAAGAAAGCTATGAGACACTATGGATACAGCAAGATGTTTCTATGATAACAAGTCTAGGAAATGCGAAGTCTAAATAAGGTCCAAAAATGTGTAAAAGAAAGTCCAAAATATGCTACAATCCAATAGGTCCCAAAAAGCGCAACAAGAGAAACGCAAACCTAAGCGTGATAAAGACGAGGGCGAGAGTCTGAAGTTTGCAATATGAAAATTAAGGGCTGAGCACCCGTGATAAGACCAGAAAGTCTAATCCTCATCACTGGAGGACTCCTCATCTGCAAATAGAGCAAGTCAGCTGAGGCTTATCGCGAAAAGGAAGAAACCTACCACTAGAGGAAGAGGACTTTGCATTGCTCTCTTCCTCCTCCTCTTCCTCCTCCTCACCTTGAACCTGCTTGTAGACACCGGAAGGCAGCATGGAAGTGAGGGTCTGGAGGTCGAGCTGGCTGTTGTGCAAGGGGTCGGGGTCCAAGGCCAGAAGCTCGCTAACGCGGGCATGGAGCGCATCTTTGAGCTCAGGGCGGTCAAGGTAGACCGTGCCAAATGCACCAGGGGGCTCTTGATCAAGGATGGCCTTGACGATGTCAATGATGTCTTGACCATATTTCTTGACCTGCTTCAGCAGCCATTCACCCTCATTGATAAGGAGGTAGGACTGGCACAGCCAGGCCTCATGCTCTTGAACTTTATGATGAAGATCTAGAAATGACTAAGTCAAAAACCCCCAATCGCGATAATAGAAACAGACTCACTTGAGATCGACAAGCAGTGAACAGGCCCATAGGCCTCAGCCTCCTTGGTGCGGTCTTCTGCGCTGGCTCTCCAAGAACACATCGAGAGCTTGCAGTTGGCACAAGGGGTACAATTAATCCCGTTGCCCTGGTAGTCGCACTTTGAAGGGATTTGGCGGCTCCAGCAATTGCCGCATGCATGAGCAACCTAAGGGAGAAGTGTTTAGCACGATAATAATAGTGCAAAAGACAAGAAGTCACTTACCATGGTAAGATCCGAGGGCAGGTCGACTGCCATAAGAAGAGTTTCCGTGTTAAGGGGACAAAGGCCAGGAACTTGGAGGCCATTATCGTGTGCAGTGGCCTTGGGAGAACACTTTTGACGAGAACCACAACCAGGTGCTAGCGCAATAATTAGTAAAAGATCCCAAGTAGAAAGAAATTGGAAGCTTACCTTTGGAAGACCCAGCTTTTGTGGCTGGGGCAGACTTGCCAGGTTTGGGCTTAGAAGCCAGTTTCGCGGTAGAAAGGGACTTAGTAGGATGCGAGGCCTTGACCTTTTTCTTGACAGGCGACTCTTCCAGGATGTACTCCGAACCAGAGAGGTCGATAGGGGGTACGCTCAGCTGCTTGCGCTTCAGATTGGTCTTCGTGACAGGAGGAGGAGGCAGTAGCTCCAGAGAAAGCTCAGGCAGGGGGGCAGCTTTGGCCTTGCCTTTGCTTTTAACCTTCTTGGGTTTAGGACCTAGTAAAAATATGAACCAGAGTTAG